GTGTATAATTTTTTTTTTTTTTTTTTTTTTTTTTTTTTTTTTTTTTTTTTTTTTTGAGACAGCGTCTTGGTATGTCGCCCAGGCTGGAGTGCTGTGGTACGATCTGCAACCTCCACCTCTCAGGCTCAGGTGATCCTCCTGCCTCAGCCTCCAGCCTGGGACCACAGGCATTCAACACCACACTCAGCTAATTTTTGTGCCATGTTCTCCAGACTGGTCTCGAACTCCTGGGCTCAAGTGATCCTCCCACTTCAGCTTCCCAAAGTGCTGGGACTACAGGCGTGAGCCACTGTGCCTTTTTTTTGAGACTAAGTCTTGCTCTATCACCCAGGCTGGAGTGCAGTGGTGCGATGTCAGCTCACTGCAAGCTTCGCCTCCCAGGTTCAAGCGATTCTCCTGCCTCAGCTTCCCAAGTAGCTGGGACTGCAGGCACCCGTCACCACGCCCGCCTCATTTTTGTATTTTTAGTAGAGACGGGGTTTGGCCATGTTGGCCAGGCTGGTCTCGAACTCCTGACCTCAGGTGATCCGCCCACCTCGGCCTCCCAAAGTGCTGGCATTACAGGCGTGAACTACTACACCCGGCCCAACTTTCTTCTTTAAGACGGAAAGGAAGCGAGTGCTCTGCCCCCGAGCACCCTCCCGGGAGCCTATGGGCCGGTTCCTTTTTTTGGCCTCAGCATCCTTGGTGGGCCGAGCGCAGCCCCGCAGCCCTTGATGCTGCAGGGCAGGGTTGGGCCTGAGGGCCCGTGTGGCCAGCTGCTGTCTCGGGATGCGGCACCCTTGAAGGTTGAGGGCCAAATCCCAGGGTCTCCAGGGTGGGCCGGGGAAGGCTGTTGGCCCCCTCAGCCTGCAGAGACTGGAGAATGTAGCAGGTGCACAGCCACCGCCAGGATTAGCTTCCTATGGTTGCTGGAACAAACCTACAGGTCAGAAACCAGATGCGAGTCTCATGGGGCTAAAACGACCGTGTCAGCAGGGCTGGCTCCAGGGGGAATCCACTTTCCGCCTTCTCCGGCCTCCGGAGGCCTCCACATTCCTGGCCTTGCAGCCCTTCCTGTGTCCTGAGAGCCGGCCGCGTGGCGTCCTCTCTCCCACCTCCGCTTCTGTCCTCACATCCCCTCCCTGACTCTGACCCTCTTAGAGGAAACCTGCAGTTGCCGCCCACCAAGACCCCCAACCTAGGCATGTCTGCAAAGTCCTCGTGAACTGGGAAACGTGACACCGCCACAGGCTCCAGAGTTGGGATGTGGCATCTTTGGGGGCCATGAATCTGCTCACTGCAGACCCCGTGTGGAGGTCTGTAAGGCCAGGGGAATCGGGGAAGACCCAGGGCCTGGCCTGGGCCGAGGGCTTTGAGGATGAGGCAATGGTCTGAGATGACTAGACAGGGTTTGGCCAGCAGACAGGAGGAGCCTGTGCAGAGCCAGGGGGTCCTGGAGAGGTGTCCCCACTCCCCAGGTGGGAGGGGCTGTCGGGAGGGACCCAGCTTCACCCTTGGGGGTCACCTTGGGGCCATGTGCAGCCCAGACCGCAGGGGTGGGCTGGAGACAAGCTTGGGGATGGCAGAACCGAGGAAGGGCACAACTGGGGGAGGGCCGGGAGGCTGGGCTGTGGCCTGGGGCCCTGTGGACAGCATTCCAAATATGGGAATATGGGCCGTGGTGGGGTGCGCTCAGACACCCATTCAGAGGTGCTCCAGGCAGCACCAGGCCCCTGGCTGCCAACTCTGACATTGTCACTGGGGCTCTGAGGACTTGGTGTCACAGGCTTCTTGGCTGGGAAGCCAGTGTTCTCTCTTGGGGCATAGCTGGCATGACCGGGGTCCACACAGCAGTGTCTCCTGATAAAGGGGCCCCTGGCGGCGGCTCTGTCTGCCCTGTCGGATGGGCCAGGCCTTCCTGCCTCTCATTTGGACACCTGCACTGGCCAAGGCAGGGTCCCACTGTCCCTGGGAAGTCCCAGAGCAGGGCCTCAGGCAAAGGCCCCATGGCAGTTGCTGTGTGTGGGATGGGCCCATGAATTTGGGCTCAGTAGCCCCTCTCTGCTGCTCCACCCCCAGTCAGGCCAGCACCCCCGGCCCTGGCACCCCCGCTGGAAGCTGCGGCAGCATCCACCGGGAGTGGCCCAGCTGCCGGCACAGCTCTGAGTCCATCAGGACCTGCTAAGGCTGCCAGGGGCACCCTGCGCTCTGCAGGTGCGGCAGGTCCAGGGAGGAGGGAGGCCTTGCTGGACATGCCTTGGGGCCCCCAAAGGGCTGGGCCGCTCACCTGCCGTGAGTCAGGGCAGTATCCTTGGTTGAGCAGATGAGGAAACTCAGGTCAGAGTGGCAAGCAGGACTTGTCTTGCTCTTGCTGCCGCCATCCTGCAGGGAGAGAGTAACAGGAGTGAGGAGTTCGGGTCCAAGTGAGGCTCCACACAGTGGGGGCAGCTCACCAGACATGTGGCGCAGTGTGGGGCCCCTGCTTTCATTCACCCTGGAGGAGGCCAGGCCGTCCCCTGCCTCAGAGACAAGGAGCCCTCCTTCCAGTCTCCCTGCGGCCCCACTGGAGTCTGGGCCAGGGGTTCTGGGGCCTCTCCCCGCCCATGTTGGCCACACATGCCCAGCAAGGGTGGCTGCCAGGGATGGGCCCAGCTCAGGACGGGACACAAACCTGTCCCTGTTCTCTTCCCCAGGGTGGACGCTCTTCTCTGGCTCCTGGGATTGGCTGTGAGAACAAAACATAAGTAAATAAAATGTACCATTTTCTCAACCAAGAGAGTGGATTCCTTTGCCTTGTCCGGTTTGCTCTTCTCTGAGTCCAGCTCAATGTCCCCACCGAGGACTCGGGCCTCAGGTCCCAGCTTTTCCTGCCTCTTCCCAGGTTTCCCCCCAAACCCTCCAGAGTCCCCAGGACCCTCAGAAGGATCCGATGACTCATGGGAGCCCTGCCTTAGGGGTTGTCCTCGAACCCTCCCTGAGCAGACTGTCCAGACTGGTGGATGTGCCTCGGTGGTGATACGATGGCAGCCAGGAGCTCCATGTGCGGTCCGAGCGGCTCGTTGCTGAGCTGGGTTCAGGGCTGGAGGTGCCCAGCTGTGTCACCAGCCGTCTTGCCCAGCCCCCGGGCCCCTGTGGGGCGTCAGCAGTGAATGCCGCTCTTCTCAGAGTGGGCAGAGTCTCTAATCTGCTTCGCTTTCCGACCCTCATTCAGGCCTCGGCACAGACGGACAGGCCTGTCCCTGTTGTTTTGGTCTGTGGGGAGGGGATTGTGCTGATGTGGGTCCTGCCCTGGGGCTGCTCTTTGGGGCTGGGAGACAAGGCCAAGGCTGGCGTGGGCCCCGTCGCATGTGCTGTGTGAAGGGCTCAGCCTGGACAGACGGCACAGTGGCTGGAGGCCCCCAGGCTTTGAGCCTTCCTGGGAAACATTGGCAAGATCCCAGGCGCTCAGACCCCGCACTGAGCCAAGCCGCGAGTGTCCTGAATGCTTTTACTGCCGAGTGTCCCACACTGAGCCAAGGCGCAAGTGTCCTGAATGCTTTTACTGCCGAGTGTCCCACACTGAGCCAAGGCGCGAGTGTCCTGAATGCTTTTACTGCCGTGTGTCCCACACTGAGCCAAGGCGCGAGTGTCCTGAATGCTTTTACTGCCGTGTGTGCCACACTGAGCCAAGGCGCGAGTGTCCTGAATGCGTTTACTGCCGTGTGTCCCACACTGAGCCAAGGCGCGAGTGTCCTGAATGCTTTTACTGCCGTGTGTGCCATTGTCACCTGCAGGCAGAGACAGGCTCTTGAGGGAAAACACAGAGCTCAGTAACGACCATTTGCCTGCAGTTCGAGGGACCCCCTCTTTTCAATTTTAGCAGGAGATACCGCAGTCCAGCAGGTGACATCCCCAACCAGCCCCACCTGGTGTCCGGGGTCCCCAGGCTGGCCAGTCCCCAGAACAGTGGGTCTTAGGGAGGTGCCCCTCACCCGCAAGGGTGGGCAGAGCCCATACTGGCTTCCCAGTGCTGTAGAAACCACCCTGCCAGCTAGCAGCGCCTGAGCCAACCGCCTTCCTCCCAGGGGAGCACCGGGCTGTACACGGCCCATGGCTGGGACCTGGTTTGGGTCCGGCTGTGTGGATAGAAGAGGGACCCCGGCTGGGAGTCCCGACCTGCCTTGGTCCTCTCTGGGATTCGGTTTCGCCTTGTGCACACAGTCCTTGTGACATTTGGAGAGGTGCGTGGCTCAGGTGGTTTTGCAGGCGGTCATGGCTTCAACCTGCAGGTGCCTCCCAGCTGACCTCGTGGGGGTATTCAGGGCCAGACCCCCACACCACCGTGGTGGGGGAGGGGGTGGGGTTCATTTGGGGAACCACAGGCGC